CCACACATGTGCAATAAGACTAAGTGCAATACTCGTTCTCTGACAAAGTTGTATTTTTAGTCAGTTGTATATAGCATTTGTATTCTATTTTTATCCTATTGTATATATTATTTTATTTTATTCTATTCTATTCTGTACAGTTGTGTACAGTATCTTATTCTTATTGTATTCCAGTGTTCTCTAATTTTTGCTACATAACTTTGCACTGTCCAATTTCTGCTGTGACAGAACAAATTTCCGATGCCTCTTCATGTGATATATTACTCGATGTGGTTTCTTGATTTCTTTAGACCAAGCACTGAAGGTCAAGATCAAACACTGAGCTCATCAGTTGCATACCTGCTGAAGTTCAGGGTCTGGCTGGGGTCAGCAAACATTCAGCGTTAGCATCACTTTGGGTTCCTGGCTAGCTTAGCGTTAGCATGGTGTCTGTGCAGATGCTTGCAAAGAGCCAAAGGGATGCTAGCTGAATGATGCAGCTGTTTTGCTCCTGGATGCAGTGTACCATTTACCACAAGTGCTCTCGTCCTTTTGTGCAAAAGAATAAAAGTTATGTTCACATCCAGGCTGTAGACTGCATCGCTATTCTCCTCCTCAGACCCATGAAATGAAAAGTGTAACTGTAAGCAGGATCGACAGACAAGCAGACTATCAAACATATTGCGAGAGCAGTAAACGGATAGAAAAACACAATGAAACTCTATCAGTGATGGATTGGCCTCCTCAGAGCCCGGACTTCAATATTATTGAAGTATTCTTATGACAGATAACTAGTATAAGGTCCAAAGAGATATCAGGGCCAGTGCAGGAAAAACATCATCAGACCAAAGACCCAGAATAAAGCATAAACTTTAAGAGTAGCCAAATCAAGAATCTGGTATATTCTTAAATAAGATGAAGGTACTGGCCTCCTCAGCAACACCAAAGGCTGGACTACAGAAGACAACCAAAGAGTATGATGACATGGTCAAGAAAAACAATAATATAACATGTAACCACGTCCAGAAGACTTTGATGGAGGCAAGCATATCATTGTCTACAATGAATAGGAGGGAGCTGCTTTACTACAGCACTTGGTGACATTGATGGGTTCAAGACCAGTGTTGGTCAAGTTACTTGAAAAAAGTAATCAGTAACTAATTACTGATTACTTCCCCCCAAAAGTAATCCCGTTACTTTACTGATTACTTATTTTCAAAAGTAATTAATTACTTAGTTACTTAGTTACTTTTTAAAAACATGATTTACAACCTGAATAGGTGATAAAGCGATAGATCTTTCAGCCCAATTCTACTTTTTCTACATAATCCATCATACAAAATGTAATCAAATGGAAAAGTCTCTTTTTAAAACTTGTTTTATTAATTTTAATCTTTTAACTTTATGCATCAAGCAAAAATTAAATTATCTGCAACATTCTCTGACTGGAAGAAATTTGTTTAATATTTAAACCTATTTTCTGCACATTCCAGCACATAAAATATTTTTATTTTTTTGTGTTTACACTCAGTCTTTCAAATAGATGCAAGTAAAACACAGCAGAAAATAAATAAAGTCAAAGACTAGCGGTCCTGTTGCTCTATTTTCACCTGTAAAGCAGGAGTGGGGTAGGCGGAGGTTTACCCTGGTGCAGGTGTGCCGCGGTCAGTGGAAGAATCCGCGAGTTTCTCTGTGAGTTTCCCATTACGTCGTAGCTACTCGGTGCTTGTTTGGAAGTTTAGGGTTTTTTTCGCTGTAAAAAGAAGTTTTCTTCCCACGCACAACGGACACTAATGTTTTTGTCACTTTTTATGGAATCAAACTCAAAGTAAGGTCAGTACTTCCACGCTTTAAACGCTGCACGCTCATACTCTCTCTGCACTCGATATATGATCCATTGTTGATCTGCACACAGCTGTTGTCACGAACGTCGCACTCGCTTACGTCACTGTCATGAGACATTCTCGCAAAAAAATCACGGTTTTAGTAACGCAGTAACGCAGCGTTCCTACAGGAAAGTAACAGTAATCTAATTACCGGTTTTGCAATAGTAATCCCTTACTTTACTCGTTACTTGAAAAAAGTAATCGGATTACGCGTTACTGCCCATCTCTGTTCAAGACTGCAAGCAATCATTGTCTTCATCCAAGTATTACAAACAATTCTGCATCTTAAATGTGCATAAAAATGAATCTAATTCTTGAAGAGTTCATGTGAATGTTTTGCATAAAAAACAACAACAACAACAACAAATAACCCTCAAATTAAAGCTCAAAGTCTGCACTTTGATCAAATTTTGATTAACTACAAAAAAAAATTCTTTGTCAATTTTATGACACTAAATCCTTTCATGTCTTGTGTCTTGCATTGTTTGAGCAAAGGAGAAATCAAAAATAGAAATAATGAGAAAACGCCTCTTTAGAGGTCACACTATTCTTAAACACCACATTTTTAAACATCTGTACTGACAGAGCTTCACCACCACCGCATCCTGAGGAGCAACAATAAAATAGCTTTTATTATTATTTTCAACTTTAATGGAAAACTCCAAAACAATACATCAGCCTTAAAATCATGAACACTGACGTGATGTGTCATTTAAAGCCACAGACGTTGGAGGACTGGTACTTATTTATGACTCTTTCTAAATTAACAAATAATCCATCAATCAATAGTACAAATGGAAAGGGAGTTTACAGACAAACATTAAACACTCATTAAACAAACAAACAAACAAACAAAAAAACATTGTTGAATTAAAAATAAAAACAGCATTTTTTTACAGAATGCAGTAATTAAACAGATTAAAAATTTGAATTAAGATGTGTTGGATGTGTTGCTCC